GGAGAGTGCCAAGCCGGCATTTCTTCGCCAAAAAGGCAGTGCCAGCCTGCATTCACATGTAGAAGAGATGGTGGGCCAGTCTTTGAGCATGTCGGTCTCTGCCAAAGTGCACGGCAGCGCCGACGTGTGGAGCTGTAACTACGGTCAGGGACAGTACATGTCATTTACGGCCCACTGGGTGAACGTGGTGCCGGCACAGCCGCACCAGCAACTTGGACAGGTCACGCCGCTTTTGCCTCCACGTTTGCACGTCCTTGGTCCAGCAAAGATGTCCGCCTCTACCACCTCTTCTTCCGCCGTGTCCTCAGCCGCCCCCCGTGCCAAGTCCCATTACCCGACCGGCATATCACATGTGCAGGGCGCAACGGTGTCACGCTGTGCTGCACCTGGTATGCCTTGGCGAACGTAGTCACACAGGGGAGGAACTTCTGAGTGTAATGAACAGAGAAATCGACAGATGGCTGTCTCCGCGCAAACTGAAAATCGGAACCATGTTGACCGACAACGGAAAGAACATGGTGTCTGCTCTGCGTCAAGGAAGGTTGTGCCATGCGCCATGCATGGCTCACGTGTTCAATCTGGTTGTCAAGCGGTTCCTAAAATCCACCATCCCACTGCAAGACATCCTTAAAATGTCACGTAAACTTTGCATGCATTTCAGCCATTCCTACACCGCAAAGCACACCCTCCTTGAGCTGCAGCGGCAGAACGGAATTCCACAGCATCGCCTGATCTGCGACGTTGTTGCAACAAGGTGGAATTCAACCCTACATATGTTAGACCGCCTTTACGAACAGCGAAAGGCCATCACCGATTTCCTGATGTTACAAGCGGATAAAGGTACTCCCCTGTGTAACTTAGATGTCAGCCATTGGCAGCTCATGCGTGACACCTGCCGCTTGCTCAGGCCCTTTGAGGAGGCCACGCTATTCGTGAGTCGGCAGGACTATGGGATGAACGACGTCATTCCTCTGTTGCACGTCCTGGAACAAATGCTGTTAACAATGGCTGGTCAGGGTGCGGTAGACGTGGCGCACAGATCTCAACGCCACATGACCCCTGTGGGGGCAGGACAGGAAGAAGAGGAGGAGGTAGAGGAGGACATTGGTGCTCAGGAATTATTGAGTGAAATGGGTGGTTTTTCCACTCAGCGGACAGGAGTGGAGGAGCAGGAGCATCTGGTAGAGGAGGAGGAGGAGACAGAGGACCCAGACGCACCGTGGCAGTATGCTGTGGAGATGGAGGCAGGGAGTCCCTCGCATTCCTTGGCACAAATGGCCCATAGCATGCTCGGTTGCTTGCGTAGCGACAGCCGAATAATAACCATCAGACAGAGGGATGACTTTTGGCTGTCCACCTTGTTGGACCCTCGCTACCGTTCAAAAATGGTGGCCTTTTTCACACCTGCTGAGAGGGAGGCCAAAATAACGTACTATAAAAACCACCTATGTAGTCAGTTGGTCTCTGCCTTTCTGCGCCAACGTCCATCCTCAGACACTGTGGGCCCTGTGCGCTCGCGTTCCGCTGCTGCCATGGCAGCAGGGGAGGGGTGGGGTGGTAGGAGCAGTGGCAGCTCCACCAGCAGCGGCTGCCTCAGTCTGCAGTCGATGATGAGTAGCTTTCTTCACCAGCGCAGTGAGGAAACTACTAACCAGCCGCAGCAGCAGCAGCATCAGGTGGACCTGGAGCAGGACCTCAAACAACAGGCTTGGGCCCTACTTGGACAGCACCCTGCCAACCGAGGTAGACAATCCCCTTGACTACTGGGCAACGAAACTTGACCTTTGGCCCCAACTAGCTGAATTTGCCCTTGAAAGGCTGTCATGCCCGGCCAGTAGCGTGGCATCGGAGCGCGTGTTTAGTGCGGCAGGAGGTATTGTAACTCCGCGGAGGACACGACTGTCCACCCAAAGTGTGGAGAGACTCACGTTTGTGAAAATGAATCAGGCGTGGATTAGTCTGGATTTCAAACCACCAGTTCCTGACACAACTGACTAAATCCGCCATGAATCATGCCCCAAACATGTTATTATTTTTAACATAGGCCTCTGTATGGCCTTCAATTTAAGCTGCTTACGCTTCGCCACTCTGCCATGGGCCCCTGTACCGCCTCCTCTTGCTGCTGCCAGGTCCAGAGTGTGTCATGGGTCCCTGTACGGCCTCCCATTGCTGCTGTCTCCATCGCCACACTCTGCCATGTGCCACTTTCAGGTCTCCTCACACTGCTGGTGGGTTCCATTTTGTCATAGGGTGCTGGCAGATTACGGGCCTCCCATTGCTGCTGCCAGGCCCGTAATCTGCCATGGGCCCCCGTACCGACTCCTCATGCTGCTGCCAGGCCCGTAATCTGTCATGGGCCCCTGTACCGCCTCCTCATGCTGCTGCCAGGTCCAGAGTGTGTCATGGGTCCCTGTACGGCCTCCCATTGCTGCTGTCTCCAGGCCCCACATCTGCCATGTGCCCCCTTACCGTCTCCTCCTCATGCTGCTGCCAGGTTCCATTTTGTCATGGGCCTCCCCCTGTACCATGGGCCTCCTCATGCTGCTGCCAGGTCCAGAGTGTGTCATGGGTCCCTGTACGGCCTCCCATTGCTGCTGTCTCCATCGCCACACTCTGCCATGTGCCACTTTCAGGTCTCCTCACACTGCTGGTGGGTTCCATTTTGTCATAGGGTGCTGGCAGATTACGGGCCTCCCATTGCTGCTGCCAGGGTCTGTAATCTGCCATGGGCCCCCGTACCGACTCCTCATGCTGCTGCCAGGCCCGTAATCTGTCATGGGCCCCTGTACCGCCTCATGCTGCTCATGTCCAGACTCTGCTGTCCCAGGTCCAGAGTGTGTCATGGGTCCCTTACGGCCTCCCATTGCTGCTGCCAGGCCCGTAATCTGCCATGGGCCCCCGTACCGACTCCCATCATGCTGCTGCCAGGCCCGTAATCTGTCATGGGCCCCTGTACCGCCTCCTCATGCTGCTGCCAGGTCCAGAGTGTGTCATGGGTCCCTGTACGGCCTCCCATTGCTGCTGTCTCCATCGCCACACTCTGCCATGTGCCACTTTCAGGTCTCCTCACACTGCTGGTGGGTTCCATTTTGTCATAGGGGGTGGCAGATTACGGGCCTCCCATTGCTGCTGCCAGGCCCGTAATCTGCCATGGGCCCCCGTACCGACTCCTCATGCTGCTGCCAGGCCCGTAATCTGTCATGGGCCCCTGTACCCGCCTCCTCATGCTGCTGCCAGGTCCAGAGTGTGTCATGGGTCCCTGTACGGCCTCCCATTGCTGCTGTCTCCATCGCCACACTCTGCCATGTGCCACTTTCAGGTCTCCTCACACTGCTGGTGGGTTCCATTTTGTCATAGGGTGCTGGCAGATTACGGGCCTCCCATTGCTGCTGCCAGGCCCGTAATCTGCCATGGGCCCCCGTACCGACTCCTCATGCTGCTGCCAGGCCCGTAATCTGTCATGGGCCCCTGTACCGCCTCCTCATGCTGCTGCCAGGTCCAGAGTGTGTCATGGGTCCCTGTACGGCCTCCCATTGCTGCTGTCTCCATCGCCACACTCTGCCATGTGCCACTTTCAGGTCTCCTCACACTGCTGGTGGGTTCCATTTTGTCATAGGGTGCTGGCAGATTACGGGCCTCCCATTGCTGCTGCCAGGCCCGTAATCTGCCATGGGCCCCCGTACCGACTCCTCATGCTGCTGCCAGGCCCGTAATCTGTCATGGGCCCCTGTACGGCCTCCTCATGCTGCTGCCAGGCCCGTAATCTGTCATGGGCCCCTGTACGGCCTCCCATTGCTGCTGTCTCCATCGCCACATGCTGCCACTTTCAGGTCTCCTCCACTGCTGGTGGGTTCCATTTTGTCATGGGTCCCTGTATGGCCTCCCATTGCTGCTGCCAGGCCCGTAATATCTGCCATGGGCCCCCGTACCGACTCCTCATGCTGCTGCCAGGCCCGTAATCTGTCATGGGCCCCTGTACCGCCTCCTCATGCTGCTGCCAGGTCCAGAGTGTGTCATGGGTCCCTGTACGGCCTCCCATTGCTGCTGTCTCCATCGCCACACTCTGCCATGTGCCACTTTCAGGTCTCCTCACACTGCTGGTGGGTTCCATTTTGTCATAGGGTGCTGGCAGATTACGGGCCTCCCATTGCTGCTGCCAGGCCCGTAATCTGCCATGGCCCCCGTACCGACTCCTCATGCTGCTGCCAGGCCCGTAATCTGTCATGGGCCCCTGTACCGCCTCCTCATGCTGCTGCCAGGTCCAGAGTGTGTCATGGGTCCCTGTACGGCCTCCCATTGCTGCTGTCTCCATCGCCACACTCTGCCATGTGCCACTTTCAGGTCTCTCTCACACTGCTGGTGGGTTCCATTTTGTCATAGGGTGCTGGCAGATTACGGGCCTCCCATTGCTGCTGCCAGGCCCGTAATCTGCCATGGGCCCTGTACCGACTCCTCATGCTGCTGCCAGGCCCGTAATCTGTCATGGGCCCCTGTACCGCCTCCTCATGCTGCTGCCAGGTCCAGAGTGTGTCATGGGTCCCTGTACGGCCTCCCATTGCTGCTGTCTCCATCGCCACACACTCTGCCATGTGCCACTTTCAGGTCTCCTCACACTGCTGGTGGGTTCCATTTTGTCATAGGGTGCTGGCAGATTACGGGCCTCCCATTGCTGCTGCCAGGCCCGTAATCTGCCATGGGCCCCCGTACCGACTCCTCTTGCTGCTGCCAGGCCCGTAATCTGTCATGGGCCCCTGTACCGCCTCCTCATGCTGCTGCCAGGTCCAGAGTGTGTCATGGGTCCCTGTACGGCCTCCCATTGCTGCTGTCTCCATCGCCACACTCTGCCATGTGCCACTTTCAGGTCTCCTCACACTGCTGGTGGGTTCCATTTTGTCATAGGGTGCTGGCAGATTACGGGGCCTCCATTGCTGCTGCCAGGCCCGTAATCTGCCATGGGCCCCCGTACCGACTCCTCATGCTGCTGCCAGGCCCGTAATCTGTCATGGGCCCCTGTACCGCCTCCTCATGCTGCTGCCAGGTCCAGAGTGTGTCATGGGTCCCTGTACGGCCTCCCATTGCTGCTGTCTCCATCGCCACACTCTGCCATGTGCCACTTTCAGGTCTCCTCACACTGCTGGTGGGTTCCATTTTGTCATAGGGGTGCTGGCAGATTATGGGCCTCCCATTGCTGCTGCCAGGCCCGTAATCTGCCATGGGCCCCCGTACCGACTCCTCTGCTGCTGCCAGGCCCGTAATCTGTCATGGGCCCCTGTACCGCCTCCTCATGCTGCTGCCAGGTCCAGAGTGTGTCATGGGTCCCTGTACGGCCTCCCATTGCTGCTGCCAGGCCCGTAATCTGCCATGGGCCCCTGTACCGACTCCTCATGCTGCTGCCAGGCCCGTAATCTGTCATGGGCCCCTGTACCGCCTCCTCATGCTGCTGCCAGGTCCAGAGTGTGTCATGGGTCCCTTTACGGCCTCCCATTGCTGCTGTCTCCATCGCACACTCTGCCATGTGCCACTTTCAGGTCTCCTCACACTGCTGGTGGGTTCCATTTTGTCATAGGGTGCTGGCAGATTACGGGCCTCCCATTGCTGCTGCCAGGCCCGTAATCTGCCATGGGCCCCCGTACCGACTCCTCATGCTGCTGCCAGGCCCGTAATCTGTCATGGGCCCCTGTACCGCCTCCTCATGCTGCTGCCAGGTCCAGAGTGTGTCATGGGTCCCTGTACGGCCTCCCATTGCTGCTGTCTCCATCGCCACACTCTGCCATGTGCCACTTTCAGGTCTCCTCACACTGCTGGTGGGTTCCATTTTGTCATAGGGTGCTGTATGGCCTCCCATTGCTGCTGCCAGGCCCGTAATCTGCCATGGGCCCCCCGTACCGACTCCTCATGCTGCTGCCAGGCCCGTAATCTGTCATGGGCCCCTGTACCGCCTCCTCATGCTGCTGCCAGGTCCAGAGTGTGTCATGGGTCCCTGTACGGCCTCCCATTGCTGCTGTCTCCATCTCCACACTCTGCCATGTGCCTCTTTCAGGTCTCCTCACACTGCTGGTGGGTTCCACTTTTTCATAGGGTGCTGTATGGCCTCCCATTGCTGCTGCCTCCACCGCCACACTGTGGCTCCACACTCTGGTTTTGGCCCCGTGACTGCCCAAATGAGTGAAGTGTGCGGTGATTCTAAGATCGACGGCACTCATCTGCATGTCATACTGACTGACAGTATTATTTCTCTTCCCCAGCAGACTCCAAGGGCATTTAAATTAAAGGTACAGTGTTCTGCACTAATATAAAGGCTCTCTGAAGCCTAGAAACACCCTTTTTAGAAGTTAAATTCGCAGCGAATATATTCGACTCAAATCAAATTTATTCCGCGAATTCGCCGAATCAGCCGAATCGAATTTTTGAATACTTCGCTCATCTCTAATTATCATCAAAACGTTCTTTGAGAAAACCGTCAGGAATAGTTTTATTCCGACTGATAGCTGCAACCACCCAACTTGGTTGAGTAACAGCCCTAAAGGATAATTTACAAGAATCCGACGAAACTGTGACAATTTATCTGACTTCCACTTGCAAGCAAGGGCAGGAGATTCTCTAAATGAAAGCATCCAATCAGTAGCCAAATTGGATAGAGATACTCTGATTATTAATGACACTAAAAACGCAAGAACACAGATGGTTTGTCCTTTTATAACGAATTATTCCACACAAAACTATCAGCTCAGACACATATTTAAAAAAATAGTATAAACAATAACATATGAGCGCTGGATGATAGCAGGAAAAGCAGGGGGGAGCAGCCAGCATAGAAGAGGAAACAACCTCAAATCCTCCAAGATATGCTAAAAAATAATAGTACAAATGCGGCGCTACATATTTAAAAAACATTGGAATATTTTAACCAATGACCAAGTCCTGAAGAAAATTTTACCACTAAAACCAGAAGTATTGTTTCGAAAAGCACCTACCATTTAAGACAAGATTGTCCCTAATATCATTAATCCACCTAAACCTATTAGGCTGTTTGGGGACCTTAAAGGCTTTTATCCTTGCAACAAATGTCCAATTTGTGTCCTGAGCAGAAATAAGCTTCCTAAAATTACGTCCTTCACTTTGAATGTCACCAATAAAAGTTAGCAAATAGATGCATTCATTAAGTGTAACAGCAAAATATGTAGTGTATCTCCTTGAAAGATCATGTCAAAAACAATACATCGGAAGTACTAGAAAGATGAGATACAGAATGCGAGAACATATCTATAATAGAGAAAAGGGGTACAAAGAACATGCGTTATCCAAACATTATAGGGACTTACATCACAGAGATTCACACACGTTAAAATTTGTGGGCATAGACATCCTCAACCCACATTGGAGAGGGTGTAATAAACGAAGAAAAATATCCCAACTTGAAACCAAGTGGATATATGAGATGAAATCACTTGCACCTTTAGGCCACAATGTTGAAATTGACATTAATTGTTTCATTGATAAAAGTTGAAATAGAGAGAGAACCTCCTTTTATGTCAGGATGCATACTATTGACTGTTATTCTATGACTGTACGTTACATATAGATATAATATACAATATTTAGTTATCCACATATAGGCTGATGAATTTCTGGATTAATGGACGTGCATATGTATATATTTTTTATGGACATACTTGATTCATTTGTATTTTATTCCTTGTATATATGTAATTGATATTTACTGAATTGATTTTTTATGTACCCCACAAGGCATGATTCTAAATTATCAATTTTATTTTTAATATTTAGATTCAGCTATGTTTCTTGAGAACTTATATTTTTACATAATTTTTTATCTTGTGATTCACGGTCATTTAGTCGTTTTATATAATTTTTATTTTTAGAATATATTTTTAATATATTTTTTTCTTCTTATTTTCATGTTTGTTTCTTAATTGCAAGCATATATCATATACTTACATTTTATTTAAATCCACTGGTATATTTTTATTATCATTTCACACAGTAATCATCACAATGGGTGTGGATGTATACCAATTTATAACATACACCATTCTTGATATCTTTTAACATTAGCAAATTGTATATATTTTTCCTTGTTTTCTAGTGTGAATTAGATTCCTTTTTTGTATCATATATTCTGTTAAAACAAAAGGATTATAGACAGCTCTGACAATGAGCGTTGTTGTAAGTCCCCGCATGGCAAAACATTGAAATCTCCATTAAAATGGCCGCTATTCATTCCGGTCCAGACTTCGGCAAGATGGTCACGGTGATCACGTGACCGCTGATCACCGGCAAAATGGCCACGATCACCTCATGGTTTTTTGCACCTTGTGGGCTATAAACCAGTCATTTTAAGATGTCAGCAATGGGTGTTCCCCTGAGGATGTGTTGGTACACGAAACACGCTGGGTGGAGCCCTATTGCTGACGCCATTGAGGAGCGGTGGCCATCTTGGTACTCACTTTGCTATTATTTTTATTACTCCATGTGGATATTTTAAATTGTTACTCATGACCATTATAATAAAGTACTACACTATTAAGCACCTTTCTGGCTCCTGTGGCTGAGCTAATTCCCACCCAGGACCATTTTGGCACCACCCTGATGGATGGAGCTGGATGACTAGCCCATAGCTGCCAGCATACCGCTGCAGCCCCAGATGTGTGATGTGTATAACCCATGCTCATTAATACTTTTGTTCTGGTGAGTGTACACCCGTCCCAAGGGTGGATTACCTTTCATGAGTTCATGCACTACTGTTCGCCATGGATAAACCACACGTGCCATTCATAGGCACTCTCTGAGTTGGTACTCTCACACGAAGGACATTCCATTATTCAGGAATGATTATATGAACTTTTTTTAGCACCATTTACCAGTTTACATCATTATTGCACTTTGTTGACTTTACATGCGTTTATAATTGATAACATCGCATTTCTAGCGCTGCTCTATTACTTTACCATATTTCTATTCTGGGACTGTTGCCAATACCCTAAATGCTAAGTGCTACCTTCATATCTATACCTATATTTATCTTGTGTAATACCATTTTAGTAGTCTATATAATTTTAGCAGCGCTCGCCTTTATCATTATTTTTAAACATAGTTTGCTCACTATTCTTAGTGAAGCTATACTTTGCATACTAGCACATTATGAAGGACTTACCTTAAAATGAAGCCCTCCAGCGATGCGCTGTCACCGCTGATAGGACTTTCATGCTCACCCGGTCTTCCTACCAGGTTCACGA